TGCTAGAGCATCACCTGGAAATGCTTCCCTTCATCTCCCCTGAGATGGTTCTGCAGGAGATGGACACCACACATCTGCCACGTTCTGCCCCACAAAGGGCTGCTTTCCAAAGGGTAGGCTGTTGCCCCGGGTGTGGTGTAAAGACTGGTGGAGTGTTTTGAGAAAAGGGACACTGGAGGACCAGGAGGATAGTTGTAGGAACATTTTGTGTTGCATCAGGGCGCAAACAGCTGCCGCAGGAGATTCTGGCATGCTCTAACTGAAGTGTAGTAAATCTGCCCCGAGCACCTCGAGCACCTCGTGGTCACCTAGCCATCTTCTGCTCATCAGGCCAGACAGACATTGCCCCAGGGCCATCCCTCCAAGCAGCATCCTCACCTGCCACACACCCGGAGCGGGAAGGTTTGATCTAGTGCGTAAATCTGATGTGGCGCCTCAAAGGTCACTTCAAATTTTGGCGGCACTGGAAGGAGAAAACAGAACTGTAGGATACACGTGTCCCTGGCCAGGGACAGCCCTTCCAGAGAATCAACATGAAGACAGACTATGGAGGAATAAGAGTCAGGAAAGGGAAAGGGAAGATTTCCAATGTTTCTTTAACAGATTTGTGTGTCGTCCGTGGTTGATTGCTCCTTCCCAAATTAAAACCCAAACGTGTCCATGTCCCTGCGATTCTGACAGCTACTTGCACTGAGAGCAGACCAGCTTCCCAACCCAGCTGATTAGGGAATGAAAGAGAAGTGGGATGGCACTGGACTTCATACTCTCTGGAAAAGCCCACCCTAAATGACCTTCTGTCTGACACAGAGGTCTGCAGGAATCAGCTGTGCCAAAGCTCTGGGGCAATGCACAACACTCCTCCTACATGCTGACCCAAGGTCCCCAAGTGGTCTTTCTCCTGAGCCTCAGCTCAGACTCTTTCCTATGACAGATGCTATTTTTTCCCATCTGCTCCCAGGATGGTTATCATGGAACAAACACTCAGCTTCCTGGATCAAGAGCGCAAGGTCCTCCCTGCAGCTCTGACGCGTACCCCACATGCTCATACCATACTCCTCGACGGAGAAGCTGCTGTAGGTGTTGGCACTGGTTACGTTGATGACGTACGTCCCCAGCAGAGGCTCATCACTCAGCTGGAAAGACAGATCCGCGATGCCGTCTTGGGGGACCACATTCAGCCACTGCTCTATCCGGTTGTTCTTAGGGTCCTACACCCAGAAGAAAGGAAGAAACAGTTGTTCCAGCATCTCCCTGATCCACACCCCATAGAAATCGAGCTTCAGGATTTCAGTGCCGCAGACTACCAGGTTCTATAGCTAAGGAAGGAGGTTCAGTATAGGCCAGTCAAGAAATTTTGAAGATAATATAATGCTCAGATTCTGCTCCCAGCATCTGAGTCTTCTTCTACACTTACCTAAATTCTGATCTCGAGGAAAGATCCTTCACAGTTCTAACTTTTTTCATAAAAGTCTAAGTTGATCTGTCTATACTCTTGCAAGTCTAGAACAACTCACATTTCTACTGAAACAGTTAGTTGAGCATAACCTCAAGGAAGGGCATGAAAAAGCACCTGTATGGAACACGTCAGTCTAAGAAATCTTAAAGTTCTACTATTCCACTTAGAGGTCAGTAAAATCTGACAGGAACTGACTACGAATAGCCCAGCAAAACGTCTGCAGCAACATCACCGTAACGTTAGATTTCAGCATCACTCACCTGGAGAAACAGGGAAATCTGGAGGGGGGAAAAAAGGCAACAACATTAGAAGACAGAAACACATGCCAGCAGCACACACAAGGTACTTGAGATGCAGAGCCTTCTCTGAAGGATGTGCAACTACTGATTTGGCAATTTAGAGCACTGACAACAATATGAAGTAAAACAAATGTCACCAAAAAGGAGAAATACCGGGTGGGTCCGTTACAGTAAGGTCTGAAGAAAGGAAAAGGAAAAGCCCATCTGGGGGTCACCCAGCACTTGCTAACGACTTCCTGGCCAAGTCCTCCACCAGGAGAACTCACTGCCCAGACAGACCTAGCTCTGGCTCAGCTGCAGTCTGAGGTACAGGATCACATAGTTTGGAAGGAACCTCCGGAGGTCATCTAGTCCAACACCCTGCTGAAGCATGTCTTCTCAGAGCAGATTGCTCATAGCCCTCTCCAGCTGAGCTTTGAACATCTCCAAGGATGGAACTGCCTTCTCTGGGCACCTGCTCCAACATCTGATCCTTGTCGCAATGAAAAAGTCTGTCCTAATGTCTAACCAGAATTCCTCATGTTCCAACTTGCAAGACCTAGATGGAGAGCACCCGTCCCCACCATGCGTCCAGGAAAACCTGACTTGCAAACTCGTCACTCCCCACGTGACATCATCTCA